ATAATTTTAGAATATATTTAAGGGTTTGACTTTATCCAAAAAGAAAAAAAAAAAAAAAAAAAGGAATTCAAATTATTTGTAATTGACTACTAATCCATTTCCATTATCCTCCATGTGCCAGATATTGAAACACAGAGGACAAACTGTCAATTATCCAATAAGAAGTATGCAGTGTGTGTGTGGTTGTAGATATAGCAAATTCAACTCATGAAGACAGCTAAATTGTACTGTATTTCATTCCTTACAATTAGACCCCACGAGTGGCCTTTAGCTTCTGCTACATTTATTCATCTTTTTCATCAGGTCCCCACCCCACTCTCAAACACGCTGATTCTCTTTAGCCTTTTCTTGGATCCCACAATTTCTCTGTAGCTCCTTCACAAAACCCATAGAGAGACACAGATTCTCTCTCTAAAGACAGCAGTCAACCACTGAAAAAGGAGAGAAAGAACCTACCCTACTCCCATCCCACTCCACTACTTCCACTTGTTCAGTTGGCTCAGAAAAGCTTCATCATAGATTCATCAATTGACAATTGAGATTGACCCATTTTTGGAGTTCCAAGAAAATTTGCTTGAAAATCTTCAACTTCCCCAGAGAATGGAATTTATGGAGCCACATAGCGAAAACCAAGGGAGTGGCAGTGGCTCGGACCATCATGCACCAAATCAAGAACCATCTTCTCTCCAACTAGTTGCTCTTCACCACCAAAGTCAATCTGAACCTAACCCTGGGTCCGGCCAGGCCCCAGCCCATGGTCCCTTCATGGGCTCCATCTCCATGCAATCAAGAACCTTAGGTTTATCCTCTTCTTCCATAAACACCACCACCTCCTCTTCTATCACCACCACCACCGCCCCTACAACCGCCGCCGTGAACAATAAAGTGGCCAAAAAGCCATCGAAAGATCGCCACACGAAAGTGGATGGCCGGGGTCGGCGCATCCGCATGCCGGCCTTGTGTGCAGCTAGGGTTTTCCAGCTGACAAGAGAATTAGGCCATAAATCGGATGGTGAGACAATAGAGTGGCTTTTGCATCATGCGGAACCATCAATTATAGCTGCCACTGGAACAGGTACAATGCCGGCCAATTTCTCCACCCTCAACGTGTCTTTACGCAGCAGTGGCACCACCATCTCAGCTCCACCGTCCAAGTCTGCTCCTCTCTTCCTCGGCGGCGCCACCGGGATGCTAGGGTTCCACCACCAGCTGTCTTCCAACATCGGGTTTGGTCAAGATCCGGAGGAAAATTACATGAAAAAGCGGTTCAGAGAAGATAGCAGCGGGGCAACTTCACCTACAGCTTCTAGAATGGGGAGATCAGGAGTGCGAGATCAAGAACCGGGTTCAGAACAAAAACCACAAAAACCCAATTCAACACATCCTACCAATTTCCTCCCGGCTCCCGCTATGTGGGCGGTGGCTCCGGCCGCCACAAACGCAGGCAACGCCTTCTGGATGCTGCCTGTGACGGGAGGAGCCACCACGACCACGGTGGGTCCAGGGCAGCAAGAGCACCAGTTATGGCAATACAAGGCATCTCCCATGCAGAGAATCGGTGGCTTCGAGCTCCCAAGTGGAGGCCGATTCAGCCCGGTTCAGCTTGGTTCTATGGTGTTACAGCAGCCACCGCCACCGGTTCAGCAGCTCGGACTTGGCGTCTCCGACACCAGTAACATGGGAATAATGGGCTCCATTAATGCATATAATAATAGTAGGATTGATTTAGGCATGAATTTGGAGCAGCATCACCATCATCATCAAAATCAGCCACAAAGTAACGATAGTGGAGATGAAAATCCCAAAGATTCTCAATAATGTTGGTATAAATGAATTATCAGAATTCCCCGACTGGTCAAATAAAGGCAAAAGTAGGCCATAAGCATCAAATTTCAATGTTGCAAAATTTTCTGCATTTTCTAGTTGAATGATTGTAGAATTCTTACCTTTTTCATAGGTGAAAATTTCAGACTGGTGTGCAGATAATTTTGTTTTTTGTTTTTGATGAGATTTAAACTCTTGTTATTATTTGTTTTCATCCTTTGATTTGTTGTTATATTAAAATGTATAACTGGATTCATTCTACAGCTATAATCAACTTCAAATTTTCTCAGTCTTGATAATAGTTTGAAGTAATAAATTTCCAGTAATTTCTTTCTTCATTAACATACAATTAGTTTTCGACTTGTATGTGTTATTAGTTTGTACTAAGCAATATATATATATATATCAAATTTGATCTTTTAAATATCGGTGCTTAATTTATACTAATCACTATGCTTAGGCATCAAACCTGATATCCGCGGGTCACGCTCCAAAAGGGGCAGGAATTGCCTGCTTAATTGGGTATTCGGGTCGAGTGGGCGGGAGACTTCATCCTGAGGCAGGTACAGGTAACAAAGGCCGTTCCCCGTCCAGTTTAAAACCCCCCTTCTTTTTTTTTTAAGAATTCAATACTTTAAATGAAAAACTCCATGAATTTCGTTAGTTTTAATAAAAGATGACAATTAAAATTATTTAAGAAATATGATTGATAATATTCGAATAATTTAACTTTTAATAATAAATAAAAAATTATTAAAATATTATTGTCTCACTTTAATGAATGAGTACAATAAAATAAATTTAAAATAATAATAATAATAATAATAATAATAATTAACGGAGCGAGTATGAAACGAAAAATTACTCGACAATCTCATGCCCTGATGCCATCGCTACACATATACATGTATGTAGAGGTCTTTTCACATGTTAATGATATCCAGACAAAAACCTGAATAATTTAATCAGTAATTGGAGGAGCCCCAATACGTGATTCAGTGCTCCACTTGCACAATTTTTTTATAGTGCTTCAAAATTTTGAATTTATGTTTAATATTGAAATATTTTGTGTTATGGTATTGACAAAAAAAAAGGTAATTAATAAATAAAGTATTTACTTTTTAATATTATCACGCAAAATGTCTCTATATTTTATTTTTTGATATTTTCACCTTTAATTATACATTTAATTGCGTAAATTGTCCTTTCGTTCATTTCTTGTCGATTTCTCTTTTAGTCAATCCAAAAAAACCAATACCATATGAAACTATTAAAATAATTAAAATTTAAAACTATTTTTTTAGAAAACAAAAGAAAAGATTTTCTTGTTTACCATCCTCACCCAAAACCAACCCAAACCAAAATCATTCCACCCGTCTCTCACCATGGGCGCAAAGCAAATCACCGATGATCACTGATGCCTAATTGATTTTTTTGGGGTGACTGGCGGAGAAATTAATAAGAAATGAATAGAAGGACTGTTGGCGCAATCAAATGTGCCATTAATGGTGAAAGTGTCAAAAATGAAAGGTATAATATTTTGCATAATAATATTGAAATGTAAGGACATTATGTGTTAATTACCCTTGAAAAATAGTATTTCAATTTGTATGTGAAAATTATTGAACCCAAAACCTTGATATGGTGGTAGAAATGGTATACTCAAATATGACTTTCTGTATATTGACATCGCAAAACCTGGGGGTCATGAGACAAAACTTTTGATAAAATTTTAACAAATTTTGATAGAAGTTTATGAAATGTGGAATTGAAAAATTGATAAATGTTGTGGATCAAATAAAATGTCAGGTTAAAATTAAAATTTAACAGTTCAAAAAATAATAAAATTTTAACAAAGTTTTATCAATCAAGCACATAGCTAGAAAAGTATGGCACTTTATTGGCCAATAATAATTGGTTATTTTGAAAATAGAATATTACAGAAAAATTGGGTAATTGTATATAATAGTCATTTCTTAATAAAATTATTCGAGCTGTGCAGGTTCCAATTAAGCCACTGTTTGATCTCCATTAAATTAAATTACATTACATTTTATTTTTCTCTCTCCTATTTTCAACCACACAATCTTTCATAAAATAATATTACACGAAAATCGAAAATTTTCCTTCTTTTTCAACCACTCATTTTTCTAAAAAATACTATTTCCCACATTTTCATTTTCAAGTAATGGGGATCAAACAGGAGCTTAGACTTCCGCATTTGATTTATTTTAGAATTAATGGTTGATGATCACATGATCCATGAGCTAATGATGAAGATCTACTTTAATTTATATAATACACTAGGAATTTAAAATAATATTGTGATTATTGCGTAACTTAATTGTCAAGCTAGCAAAAGCAACATTATATTAAAATGATATAATTTAAGGTTAGGATTATTGAGTATCTCATTTAACACTCCATGCTTAGCCCTTACAATCCAATAGTTCATCACTTATCGTCCATTATTATTGTCTAATAAAAAGTAAATAGCAACGTCGTTAAAACTAGACGGACCGATCTATTCAACGAGAGCATGACACGTAGACAAGAACTACGGGCTTTATGACTTGCTCCTTATGGATCTTTCTCCTATAAGTATAGACACACAAAGGAAAATGTAAACTTTTATTTTATATCAAAGCTCTAGTCAAATATCTGCTTGCTTTTCTCTCCCAAACTCAATTTCCCTTCTACAACTTGCACTGGCTCTTGAATTCAGAGGCGGGGTCAGAAAATTTGTTCAGTGCGGACATAATTTAACCCATATCGAACATTGTGTTTTGGTCATGAATTTAATGATGATAAAACTATAAGACAAAATCATGGGTTTGGGCCTAAAAATAAAACTTATGTAAATTAAAACATGTTTTTATTCCACCTCCCCTGTTGCTTCAAAAAAAATAAAATAAAATAAAATAAAATGTTTGGGCCTAAAATTTTAGTTCAACGTGGCTCCGCCTCTGGTTGAATTGATCGCCAGAGTACCAGCAGTCTCTTTTTCTTGGCGTTGATCTTGGTGCTTACGATTTCTATCCAGCTTAGCGTGATTGTGTTTAGAGAACAGTCGACAACATGGTCTTAATGATTTTTTTTTTGTTTACGTAAATAAAAGTTTTGATATTGAATTTGGAGGGTCTGTGGTGGAATGATGGTGTATGTCACTTCTTCTTCTTGAAGATAACCTACATGTTTAAGAGAATTTTCTCCAATGTATTACTCCTTGCACTGATATGGATGTGGAAAATATTTGACAGCGTGCGGTTTTGGTAGCAGTTCTATAACAGGCCTTAAGATCAATGGACGCTTTGATACCAAATGTTAGCTCCTTTCTTTCCTGTAAAAGAGCTCAAGAAACCTGCTCTTTATCTTCCAAAATAAAGGAGAACCAACAATGAATTTGAAAAACCAAAGAAGAAAGTGCAAAACCAAAGCAAAACATAATAGAGAAATGGAACAGCTACTGGGACAAAAGAAGTCAGTTTTCATTCATTTTTCCACCTTACATACGTAGTCCATACACTACTTTTTACATAGAAAATATAAAATATACAAAAGGCTGAATATTGGCATGGACATTGCAGCCCACTTTACATTGTACTGTAGATGGAAAAGATAGCCTAAGCGAGGAATTTTAAATAAAAGCTTCACTTCCTTCAATAAGAGAGGAAGCACACAGCCGTATGTGTATTGAGGAATGAGTGTATAATGTTACTAGTGGCCTTGGTAGCTTATCCAAATTTATATAAAGTGCATTTGTTATATTTTAATTTGTTATCCTCAGACACTAACTTCAAGGCTAACAATCTATGCACAATGCATTCGAATCATTGTAGTTATTTTATTGTAGTTATCCATGTTAAAAACCACTAGTGTAATTAAATTAATCGGGGGAGATTATGCAAAATCTCATCCGCTAAATAGTCTACCTGCCCGTGTTTTTTGAGAAGAAAAAAGGAAAAACAATTTTAAAAACAACACCTCAACCCCTAGAAAACTTCATTCTTTAAAATAAATATAATCTAACACCTCAACCACTAGACACGACTGGACACTAAGGAAGAGAAACCTGTGACAAAATTTGATAAGATAATAGTCGTTTATTTTTACACTAATACATGATTACTAGAAATCAAAGTGAAACCAACAATAATAATGTTAATCTGCAAGATTATTTATATGGTAATATTCCAGTATTATTACCAATAATATGGATCATCTACCACCTCCCATTGGTAACTGTATATGATCCCTCATGCTATTATAACCAGCTGTACCTATGGTATTACCTTCACCTTTTGCAAAGCCATTCATTGGCCTAAAGAGAAGGGATTCCATCACTTCTGCATTGGGTTGAGTTTGTAACGAATAGTGTTTTTTTGATAGTCTTAGACCTTCAAGTTCCATAGCCACTTCCTTCATACTAGGTCTATCCTCTCCCCTTACATATAAACACCTTTTCGCAAGCATAGCAACTGCCATTAATTGCTCATTGTTTCCTTCGGATACAATGTTATCTTCAAGAACTCGGTATAAACGGCCTTGATTCAGTCTAGAAAGAAAATAGCTTGCTAAATTTCTCTCCTTCTCTGGTCTCTCATAGCTCAATGCTTTTTTTCCTGTTAATAACTCCACAAGGACTACTCCATAACTATAAACGTCACTTTTTTCCGTTAATTGGTTTGTTTGCATGTATTCCGGGTCTAAGTATCCAAATGTTCCTTGCACCATAGTTGATAATCGAGTTTGATCCTCAGGAACTAATCTCGATGCTCCAAAATCAGACAATTTTGCAGTGAAATTATTGTCTAAAAGAATATTAGCTGACTTGACGTCTCTGTGTATGATTGGAGGTGAAGCTGCCGAGTGCAAATATGCGAGCACACCAGCAGCTTCTGTAGCTATTGTTAAGCGCTTGTCCCAAGAAAGAGCGTGTGCTTTTGTTTCATTGTTTATGTGTTCAAAAAGGGTGCCGTTGTTGATGAATTCATAAACCAGTAGAGGAACTTGTGTTTCTAAACAACATCCAAAAAGCCTGACAACATTCTTGTGGTTTATTTGGGAAAGAACAATCACCTCATTGATAAATTGCTCGATTTGGTTTGGATCAACCTCTTTGGACTTCTTGATGGCAACTATTCTATTATCTGATAGAAAGCCTTTGTATACAGTGCCAAAACCTCCTTGACCAATAATCCTATCGTCATGGAAGTTGTTTGTTGCTTTCTTGAGCTCCGCGGAAGTGAATATTTTCATTGTATCGGGAGAGTAGTCTCTTCTAATGAGTTGTTCTTGCAACATTAATCCACCATTTTGAAGAAAGAATTTCTGCTTCATTGTGATCAACTTTCTTCTCTTGAGTTCCAAGTACAACCAACAGGCACCAAGCAGAAGAACAATGAAGCCTAGAGCAATCCCTGTTATTAAAATTTTAGAGGAGCAAAAAGAATTGACATTAACTTCATTTTCTCACTTTATTTTCATTGAACCGACAGGCTAGAATTTTATTTTATTATTATTTTTTTTTTGGGGGAAATATGGGTTTATATCAAAGGTTACTCGAATTCCCGAGATTCTATTGGCAGTGTAAGCTGGTCCAAAAAAATGAGAGAAAAGGTTAAGAACTACTCAAAGAATTCATACTAACCTGCAACAAGTTTGAAGATGAATGATTCACCACGAATGCAACCTCGTCCATTTTTCAACCCGTCGCCATTGTAACCTTCTGGGCAAGTACACGTATAATTCCCCGGTATGTTCTTACATCCCTTTTCACATTTATTGTTTGGATCTAGACATTCATCAATATCTGCATGAGAAAAAATAACAAAAACAGCAAAGCACATTAAGTATATTCTTCAAGCACTGAATATAAAATGACATTAGTTGCTCAACCAGAGCAAGCTATGTATGTATATCAAGATATTACCTAGGGGGAAAAAATTAAATTAAATCAATACCTTGACAGCCACCATCGAGGTATGGGTTTCCTTGAAAACCCTCATCGCAATAACAACGATACCCATAACCATTATCGGGTTCTTTACACGTGGAATTCAAACTTTTACATGCATAACTAGACATGTTATTTTGAGCCTCCACACAAGTTCCATCTCCAACCGCCCAGTCAACCACCATAGGAAGTGTTGTTACGTTCCTCAGGCTGGAAAGACTACTTGAAGTAAAATTGAATGCACTTTCTTCAGCAAGGAAACTATAGCTGCAATTGTTGAAGTCCCACACATTTTTGAATTGATCATAGC